AGTTAATTTAATATATTCTGAAGGTATTTTATTAAATTAACATTATAACTGCTATTAAGGCACTGTTAAGCAAAAATTACATAAATTAAATAAACAGCCTATGTAGCTTTGAATATCAAGTATTATGTATTTGCCTATTCTTATTAATATATTTTCTTATATGGTTTACTCAATTCATGAGCCTAACAAACATTTTTTTTTTTTTTTGTACTGGGGATCAAACTTGGGACCTTGTGCTTGAGAGGCAGGCAGTAGAACCACTGAGCTAAATCCCTGGCCCCACAAACATTTTAAATGACCACTTTCTCTGATACAAACATCTTTGTTCCTAGTAATAAAGATACATATATAGGTAATATTTTTAGGAATACATGATATTTGTTATATGAAAATTGGCATTAAATTGTCATATATGGCTACTCGTCATAAAATTCCACTTAGAAATCTAACCATAGGCTCTTCTTTGAAGCTATCAGAATCATTGCTCTGAAATAATTACTCACTAAACTGTTGTTTATTTACTTATTTATTTATTTAAATTGTGGCAAAAACCATAAAATGACATTTACAATCTTAGCCATTTTTAAGTATATGGCTGACTATAGTCATATCATTGTATAACCAATCTCCAGAACCCTTTTAATCTTGCAAAAAATGAAACTCTATACCTACTGAACAATGAATTTCTATTTTTAAAACTAGATAGCCTCCCTAGATTTTAGCAAAACTTTCTCCTTTTTAATTTCCTTTTTTTCTATGAAAGATAGCTTTGTAATTTACTTTGAGAAAACAAATGTAAACATTCATTTCCACAGATCTGTATTGAGACTATTTTAATAGTGAGAGCAAACTTTGAATCATTTTTCAGTTTGTGGGATACCATGACAAACACATCATTGTTCTTCCCTGCACTCCTCTTAACATATATGGAGCTGTAATTGGATTACCACTGGGAACACGGATACAGGACACTCAGGATGGTTTCTCCCCTTCAAAATACTAGAGATAGGAAAGTAGATACTGTTAGAAAAAGAAATGGATCTATTATTAAACTTACTGAAATCAGTTACTTAAATTGGGATACACAAGCTCACTTCTGCTTCACTATGACAGTCAAAGCAGTTTAAAATCCACAAAATCCTCATTGATTAAATTAATGACAGCAAAATAATAAGTGTTGCCCATAGTTAGACCTGCCATGATCTAAGATAAGCATTGTGTTCCTGTGTGGGGCAGTCCTTAAAAAAAAAATGAAGCTGAACCACACAAATCAATCTTTCCAAATTCACATGATCACTGAGCAGGACTCTGTTCAGGTCCTGCATGCCTCAGTGCCCTTTTCACCTCTCCCATGTTGGGAAGGCTGTCTGTGTTACCCCAATGCATGGTTCTCCAGGCAGTACAAAATTGTCTTGAGAATACTTACTGCTTCTCATTTCCTTCACATGAACTCCATGGGAAAAAGTCTACAGCCAGTGTTTGTAGTCATTGTGCTTTTAAGCATACTCATTAAGAGAATGCAGACTTTTTGAGGGAAGAGCCCATGTCCTATGGATCATTTTCTACTGCAGAATTTTTCAAAGGGTGGCATATGATTGATGGATGAGCAAGTTTGGCAAATGAATGAATAATCAGCTTTTAGGTAGAATCGCTGTAGAACAAGATCATTTCTATTACAATTACAGGAGCTCATTCTCTTGTTTAGAATGTGTATTGGAATGTAAAGCAAGCTAGAAGTCTTATGGAAATACGGTTTCCTTCTGTAAGCACTCTAAGGACTTATACAATTTGCCTATACAATCTACTTTGGATAATGGCTTCTAGATGCTCCTTAGAACTTAGCCAGTTGTTCCAGATAAAAATCATCTGTGATCATAATGCGAATCACTCATCATGAAAAATGTATAATAGAGACCTAGAATTTATATAACCTCTACTAACATTTATTTTATATGAGAGTGGAGTACATTCAACAGCATATACATAATTAAATGTAAATGTATGCTGAAAATCCCATAATCATGAAAAATGCATATCCTGATGGACTACTTTTATTTGGCAACCTGTCCTTCCAGTATCTGTTTTAATATTCAAGAGTAGATTAGAAATTATATCTACAGTCTCAACACTTTCTATAAAAAATATATATGAGTAGGAATAGATAATTTACTTTCCTTCAGCTGTACATACAGAAGGATAATTACATCTTTCTGAAAAACTGAAGCTATTAAATTTCTTCTAACCTTTAACATTACCTTTCAGGATTTAATGTTGTTAGGTAATACATAATTATACACTATTGTTCAAAGGTGCTCACCCCATTTTTTAAACATTTTCATGTTGTTGCAACACTTACACATATTATCAGTATAAAATCAATATTATAAGTATACTTATTATATACTTATGATAAGTATATATTATCAGTATATATGACTTTATTGTTTGAATTAACATTTCAGTGACCACATCTTCAAGGATTTTTTACTCTTATTTAAATAAGTATATATTGATGTGAGACCTCTTCTAGCCTGTTCCATTTTATTATTAACCTAAAATTGCTAAAAAATAATTAAAACAATATGTAAATAAAATAAATTGATGTATAAAAGTCTTACAATAGTGTTGACTAGCTAGAAGAGAAAAGGGAGGAGAATATTTTCCTAGCTTTGTATACTACCATCCATCTTTCTATAAGTGTAAAACAAGAAAACAGGCATAAAGTACCATAAAAGTAATGTTTACACTACACTTTTTACTAAACAACATATACTATATTGTTATTAGCAGTCAGAGACATGGAGAGAGAAGGGAAGGGAAGAAATGGAGGGATGGGTGAAAGGGGTGTAAGTCAGTAGGGGGAGAAGTAGGTAGGAGAAATAATAATAGGTTACAAATTGAACAGAGCATCAGATTCTGTTAGAGGTCTTTTGTATTTGGAGTGAAGGGTTAGTTTTGAGTGCATTGAGCAGATATTTGTGGGGCAAGTGATGTGGGAGGAGGGTGATATAATTTGTGATTGAACAGAGCTGCAAAGGTATCAGAACCTGTTGATATATTTGTGCACCTGTAAGGTGAAGAGGCAAGAGAAGACAAGAGGCAACTAAAATAACAATGAGTGAAAAGAATAGAGAGGACAGACAGTTAATACAAGATAAAAGGTGGATGACAGAAAAAATAGGGTATAGGGGAAAAACTTGCAAAGAAGAATTTAAAAAGTGGGAAAAACAGGTAAAAAATAACAAAATAGTATTGCTACAAATGCTAGAACTGAAGAAGAGAAGAGAGAAAGAAATAAACAATAACTGAATCGAAGCAAAAAAAAGAAAGAAAAAAAAGAAAAAGAACCACAAAATAATCTGGTAGTGACCCAGATCAAACACTCCAACAAGAATGTGACCACTATGCCGCACAGCCCAAATGTTCACACAATTTCATTGTTGTCTTAGTTGCAGTCTAATTGAAGGCAGCCACACCAATTTCCCTTTGTCTCGCTTACCCACGCCGTCAGCCAGAAGGCAGATTTTGACCTTCTTCCTGGGAGTGGTTTAGGGACTTTTCTTAAAGAAGCGGCCAGCAGGGGGCGCCAAGCAGACTCTGTGGGGCTCTGTGTGGTTTCTCTCACTTGACCAATGCAAAGTACAAACAAAGACCAAAATAAAAGACTAACAAGAGGAGGGGCGGTTGAACTTTTGCAAATGGGAACAGGTCCCAGGGACCAAAGGAAAGGAGAGGAGGTAGGAGAAGGGAAAATAAAAAGATTTAAGTTGTGTCATGCACGTGTACCAAATACCCAGAATCAACATAACATTATATGTTGCAAACATGAAGTAAAAAATAATAATAATAATAACACTAATAATAAAAATGGGGAAAGGGGATCTAGAGACAAAGGGAGGAAGTTAAGTGGGGAGGGGAAAGAAAATTTTTAAAAGGACATGTTATAATCATGTACTTACTCCCTAAGATGAATGTAAACTTCATGTACTGCAAACATGTACTAATAACATTAAAATTTAAAAATAAAATGTACTATATTTGAACTATGTCTACTAATAAAGTTCAGATTTTTTAAAAGTCATATTAAGATGTGTAAAGATCATTCTGATGGTCAGAGATAGTTAATATTGTTGAAACAAATTCATATGTGGAACTTCTAGAATTTCATATTCTAGAGACTGAGAAAGATGCACACAATCAGTTGGTACAGCTTAATGTTCTCTTGCCTTGAGGAAAGGAGATAAATTAATAGATACTAGGAAAACTGATCCAAGCTCCTGTGACTATAATCTTATATTTCCCAAAGTGGTTTGCTCAGCCAGTTAGCAAATGAGGAATCTATGACTTAAGGTAACAGGTCTGATTGTTATTTCATCCTCTTAGCTTCCTTTCTTCTGAAGTCAGGGACTACGCTCCAAACTTAAGTCAATTAACTTTTAATTTTCATAAGATCATAAGAGGAGCTGTTCCAGTAGACAGGCAGCTCATCATCCCAAATGTCTGGAAATGTGGCTGGATTCTCAATGGCCAAGGAAGATACATACAAATACAAAAATGATTCATTACAGTTTTTGTGTGTCAAAATTATAAGAAGACAGACCAACCTGTCAGTTTCTGATTCAGCTATATGAAAAAAAGGGAGGAAACTTCAAAGTTGTTTTCCTTTCCTCTTCAGAGACTTACATCAAATTATTTTGAATTTTACTTCTTTTAAAATTTCTAACTCCTGACCTGTAAGAAACCTCTGAACTCTAATCATGAATCTACCAAAATATTTTGTTTCAAATATAAACAATCAAGAAAGAAAAAATGCATTTCCTTTATTTTTGAATAGTAGAGACTCCTTAATTACTAGCTGCAAGATAAAAATATAACACATAAACAAATTCATATTATAAATAAGAAAATAAATCCCCACCAAGCAAAAATATTGCAAAATCCATATTTTATGAACTTGCCATAACTTAAATATGTAGGTCTCCTAAATTAAAAATACTTACAGAATATGTGGCAACTTCTGTCAGCACATATAAGGTATCTTCTAATCAGAGTCTAAGTGTGATCTATTAGCCATCATTTAGGTAGATGCAGCTCTACACTGATTGTTTTATCCTGTTGAGAAAATAAAAAGTTCTCAATAATGACTCACTGATTAGTAAAACTGAATTTACTTAAGCTTAGGACTTGGAAAAAATCAATAATTGGAAAGATAAATGTTTGGGATCATAATGAAAAGCATGTTAAAAATTCTCTGTAAGAGCCTGAGGCATTACCCAAATTTATAGATGTGGTAACTGAGTGTTGAAAGACTGAAGACAGAGGAAAGAGCCTAGAAATCTGATTCAAAGTCTTGAAATATTTGTCTCTTTAAAGTGATATATGAGTTTTAATCAGTTTCACTATAGAAAAGAGAACTAAAAAGAGCATCATTATAAGTGCTATCAATAATCAAGGAAGAAACTCCTGGTATTAAGTGATTATTATCTTTTCAGAAGCCCTCTGAGACCTAAGATTTGAACAAAAGAGTTGATTATAATATACAAGTTTGCCCATATTTATTTACAAGATATTTTCAAAGCATAGTAGTTTTTTCTGGATAAACTTGATTCCTTGTGAATCTACAGTATCTGCCCTAATGGTCTATTTTAAGGTGAATCATTAGTTCATCTCCTATATTGATGACTATAATAAATTATCTTTTTGTGATATCTTCAACCTACAGATAATCACATAAAAGATTATAGAAAATGCCAAACAATTAATTTGAGCCCATACATTATATGTTCCAAATGTCTAATTTATCCATTTATACACATCATTTCTTGTTTAGGGCTTATGTTTATACTGTACTTAAATGTCAGTAATTACCTTTAAGAGTTCACCAATCATATGCCTCAATATAAATAGTCAAATAATTTCCTAAGTTAAATAAAATGATTTTTAAATGGTATCTTACAAAACAGCAAACAATATGGAGTTTGCTTTGGGAACAGGAAGTAACACAGGATTGGCAACAGGAAATAGGGCTCTTCCCTTACCCCTTCTCTGAAGGTTTTCTCATTGGATTTATGATCTTTAGTTGGGGTGAGGAGGTCCAGGATATTGAGTTCTCTAAGCAGGCAATGAATGGAAATGAGGAATTCCTCAGATCTTCACAGTTACCTGTAGGACTTGGTCAGCTTTTGCCCCCAAGACACATATCTGACAGGAAGACAAGAAATTTTAATGCGAAAATCAGTAATGTTTCTGAACTTCAAATTTAGAACTTCTACAACCATTTATAAACGCTTCTATAATTTTAATTTTAATGATAATGTACTTTGTGTCACAATATCCTGTTGAGATAACTTTCTTGGAAATATAATAAAGCCAGATATATGTGTGTGTGTGTGTGTGTGTATGTGTGTGTGTGTATATATATATATATATATATATACACACATATGGACTATATATATATGAAATAAAAGAATGCCTTCAAACTATAAAAATAATTTAAATTGGATGTATTTAAAATAATTAGTTTTTTATATATAACACTATGGATGAGTATCCATATGAAAATTGGAGACATGACCTGTTATTTATCAGCTCCCAATGCAATTATAAATAGATTTAATTGGCATTGGGATTACAGGCTTACTTACTAGTGTGTAACTAATTAATAGAATTTTCAACTCAGCATGTGACTTCTTTAATGATAAGCTTAAGTTGTGAAAAAAATGAAGACTTAAAATGACTATGCATATGACTTTTAAATTACTTTCCATGTTTATGCAGAAACTAAAAAACTAAGCTTAGTAGTTTGTGAAGTTCTATTTTAAGTTAAGAAAGATATGATATAATTATTTAAAGTAGTGATCATAGATTAAAATACTAGTAGAATAAGCATTTGTTAAAGTAAGTAAACATACTATGAAAACTTGATGGAATATAATTAAAATTAATTTTTGATAATTTTTTAAATTGTTACATAAAAATCTGCCATTTTGAAAAGTCTTATAACTACTAATCTTATTAGTCATTTATAAATAAAAGCACTAAAATTCTATTTTTATTAAAATAATCTTTCCTACTGACTACTGTAGCTGATTATTTTCATGCCTTCAGCAATTTCTCTTGTCCAATATATATTTCTATTCTTTATTTGGGGTGTTATTGAAGACTATGGTGATTATTGAAATTGAAAATTTACAGTAATAACATATAATGTTTTAGTTACTTTTCTCATTGCTGAGACAAACTACTCAACAATCAAAGTTAAAGGAGGAAAATTTTATTGTAACTCACAGTTTTTAGAGGTTTTATTCCATAGTAGACTGGCTCCACTGCAGGGCAGCATGGCAAAGAGGCATCACAGAGGAAAAACAATCCATGGCTTGTCAGGGCAGGCAGAAGGCAGCAAGCATCAGCAGGAGCAGTAGGCCTCCCTTCTTTCTTCATCCAGGCCACCTGCCTTTTGGGTGATGCCATTCAGAACTATGCTAATTCTAATCAGTGGACTAATCTATACACCCTTAATCCCAACTTCACATCCTTAATCAACACCCTAGACCCAGCCACCTCCAAAAAGGCCCACTTAAGAGTGAACCAGGCTTTGGGGAAACATCTAAATACAAACCATAACAGATACATTGCTATTAATTTCCATAAAATACTCCTTCTTGTGTTAAACACACTTATCCCTTCATTATTACCAGTTTCTGAAGCAATTCTAAAAGTCCTTTGGTGAGTGTCTTCATGAGATGTGATCAAAAATATAGTGAATGCTGCTGGTGAATGCCACCCAACAGAAAGGTAGGCTCCTAAAAACATTACTGTGTGTCCTGATCCATCTTATTCATGATATCTTATTCACCATATAATATCTGGCTCCTTCTCAAGGTCAAAATGACCATATAAATAAATGTTTTGAATCAATTCAGGAAATGAAGGTAGCCAGGACAGTGTAACTAAAGACATTCACAAAAGAGGACTTTTAGAACTACTTTAGAAAGTGACAAGAAAAATGAAGCTTTTTGGAACTTAAGAAGAACTGTCCTATGAGAACTTATCACCCATATAAAAAGGACATCATTTAATTTTATAGTTTATACTGAACATGAACGCAAATAAGTTTTAATTTGTACATAAGGAAATATCTGATGATGTACTGGTAAAATCTAAAGGCATGTGAGATCAACTCATAGAATTTTAACTTCTTCAAATTAGATATTTATGTCAGTATTACATTTGACATTTGTGATTTTTAACTGGATTAGAGCCTTAAACAGAGTAAATTTCTTTAATTTATCTGATGTGTTAAGATATCCCGTGACACATTTTAAAAGGTCTAAAACACAGGTTTTGAATAAATAAGTTATCAAATTCATGAATTTGCATTAGAGTTTATTAGCTCAGGTAAGACATGGTGCATGCAGATAAACTACTAGTATGTCCGTATTATGTGTGCATTTTACTTTTTCCGTGCCTAATAGCCTTCATTTACATTTTGGAAATTCTCAAGAATACTAATTACATCAAGCATATAGTTTTAGATCCTGAATTTTCTTTCAGCACATTCTAGGAGGCATTCTATTAACAAAGGAAAAAGAATGAGAGTGAAGGTCAAGAGATATATGTTCTGTTTCTACCTCTGCCATTAACAGAGGAACTTTAAACAAATCACTGTATCTCATAGTCTACAAACTCATGAACTAAGAAGGTGCCTTTTTCCTTAATTACTATGCCATGCTGTATTTTCAAAAGATGGTGACAATAATAGTAATCTCACCCACCTTGCTCCTCCACAATGGGATAATGAAACTCCTTTCATCAAGAGGTGAGGTCCACAATGCCCTTCCTTGAATCTAGGTGGGTTCAAGACACCCTTGTAGCTAATAGAAGTGGCAGAAATAACACTGGATGGCTTTTGCGGCTTGGTGAAAATAGTCATGTAAGTCAGCCTTTGTTTACCAAAACTTGAACTGACCTATAATTCCTTGACTGCCGTTGAGTCTAGTATTCTCTGAAGAAACCTAACTAGATCCCAGAGAAAGACCATATAAAGAAGCCCAGGTTTCCTCTGTTTTAGCTCTGACTGCAGCCAGATGAGAGACTCTAAGGTAAAACTACCAATCCACGGCCTTATTGAATTCTAGAGCCACAGAAAATGTCAAATATAGCAGAACATTTTTAAGTGGTTATATTTGTGGGTAATTTGCTATGCATTACATAGTAGTATGTATGAGGTAAAGGAAAATGATTTCATGCCACAAATTTTATCTTTATTTTCTGGAAAAAGAACATTCTGTCCTTACAGTTGACTACCAAAATGTTTTTGGTACAGATAATGTTTAACTAAGTGCCCTGAGTTGTTTCAGGAAAACGTGTTGTGACAATAATCTTGCTTATTACATCATAGGCTCATTAAAAATAGAATACCTCTTTTAGTTTATTTAGGTCCAAGGCCCAATACAGTATCATGCGACTTACTACAATTTAGGTAATTGTGCCCTCAAAGGTCTGTTTGTTAGTCTCTGTTGCCAAGTTGAGGTCCTACTAGAATGTGTGGAACCTTTAAGAGCAGGGGCTTAGTGGGAGGAAGTTAAGTCACTGGGAACACAACCTTGAAGTTGACATTGAGAGTACAGACCCTTCCTCTCTTTGCTTGCTGAGTGTCATGAAGTGAAAATCTTGCTCCATCACATACTCCCACCTCTGATATTCTGCCTAGACAAAGGCCCAGAGGCATGGAGCTAAGTGATCACCATCTGAAACTGTGAGCCAAACTAAACTTTTCCTCCTTAAAAGTTGATTTATCTTAAGTATTTTGTTTCAGTAATGCAAAGCCGCCTAATAGAGCTCTGCATTACTGTAAATTATAGCTTATAATGTGATGGTTGAGAAATACATAGGAGCCATGTATAGCCTGCTACCCACTCTTATATTTCCACAATCCCAACCTCCTTAATTCTCACGAATGAAATCTCTTAAAACTTCCATCATCTATCTCAGAAAAATCATGTTATGACAGAGAAGACACTCCATCATAGTCCCCCACAACAAAAGAATCTTTAGTGATTTATCTCAAAAGCTCATTGGCTTTTGTTTTGTTTTCTATGCTTTAATGTACATTTCTAATTTCTAGAACATTAAGAGCCTCTTGAGACACATAACTGTATCCTATTCATGAGTGGATTTTTCATCTTCCCAAATACCTCTCCCAATAAATACTTAATGAGTGTTTGATGACTGAGTACAAGCCTCTAAGAAAAAAAAAAGATGAATTAGCATTTGACTTTAAAAACTAATCATATAGAAAACACACACACATACATATATACACATACATTTGTATGTATATAAAAATTTAGTTGACATTTATTGTTTGAGAATTTCCTTCTATTCCAACTAATGTCTACCCCTCTCTGCAGCTATAGATTTGTAGTAAACATTGGACTAAGGATGTGGGAGGATGGGTGTGTTTTCATGTCTTATTATTGAGCACAGGGTGTCTGTGCTGCAACCTCAACCCCTTGTCTTTCTTTATTTTTCTTCAAAGTTTCACAAAGTTGCCCTAGGCTGGCCTAGGTAACTTGTTCCCTATGCATGAACAAGCCTTTAGAATCCAAAGTTACTTCCTTAACAGGAGAGGTCAAATTGTTACACAGATTTCAAATTCGCTCCCACAGGTCTACTCTTGACATCAGAGATACTGATTCCTCAAGATCTTAAAGCATGTCAGACATATTTTCTTTTCACTTTCTGTGCCAATTTTTCATTAAAGTTGATGTAGAAAAACTCATTTGTTTCATGTTTCATTTGTTAAGAGACAAATGAGTTGAAACAAAACAGCATCTGTGATAGACTTGATATTACATCAAAGTTACAGGTTCAAAGTGTCAGTTAAGACCCAGTTCCAGAGACCTCAGAGGACCAGGTGACTGCAGAACAGCTAGAAGGAAAAGGAAAGTACAGGAAAGAAAGAGAATCATATTAAAATGAATCTAAAATACAAAATTTCAGAATATTTGAGCAAAGTTAATACTAAGGAAGACAACCAACAAAAACATGGAGATATTAAAAACTAACTGTTTTACAAAAGATTAATGAAAGCATGCACAGGCCCAGGTTCAATCCAAGCACCAAAAAAGAAAAGTAAATGAAAAAAGGAAAGTAAAGAATAAGAATTTAGTGCTTTGTTTATTTAACTACATTTGTGTTCATTAAAAAATCAACTATTTCATTAGGTATTTGCTATCTGTACATGGATTTCTACTGATACTCAGGATCCCTTTTATGTCTGATTCTATCTCAGCTGACTCCCAGGATCCTCTGTAGACCTTGGGTCCTTGATCCTGTGTTCAAAGATCTCCTGGAATATTTCCCATTTCTTGGTGCTACTTTCAGGCACACGGAGCCTCCCTGAGTCCTCCTTCCCCATCCCCCTCCCTCTCTCCCACTCTCTCCATCCAGACTTATAGTTTAGCTCTTCCCCTTTTGACTCTCTGCTGGCACCACTGAGAGTGGAAAATTTTGAGATCTCACTGTGTTCCTGCCTGAACTTCTCACAAGACACAGTCACTGATTTCTGCAAAACTACATAGAACCTCTCTTTGGTCTAACCCAAGACATAGGCTGAATTATGAGACAGGACTGCGTCTCTGTAAGAAAGAATCTTTTATTTTGCCATGAATGAAAGAAAATTTTATCTTATTCTCCTTTCAGCAATAAAGTGGCTAAATATGAGAAACATAAGATATGTAATTAGGTAATATATATATAATATTCATTGGATAGCCTAATGAATTTATCATTATTATCCTTCTAAAGTATTCTTTATTTTTAACCAGTTTCTATTTTTAACATTTTCCCTGATTTCTCTATCCTCTGCTTATCATATAAGAAAAACTCCTTTCAAACTATCTTTAAAATGAGGAAATATGTTTAAGGAAACAAGAAATAGGGATAGGTAAAATATTTGAAATCAATTTCTTGAATGAATTTTTATGTTAAAAATATACCATTTTAGAAAGTTTCTTGAATTATCTGTCTATGTAACTGATTTTAACTTGATATGCACTTATTAATTTTTTATTTTTATTAGTACATGTTTGCAGTATGTAGTGATTATGTTCATTGATAAATTACATAACACATTACACAACACATAACACATTAAAGAGTGTCAAGTACTTTAAGCAAAGTAGTCTTCAATTACTCAGAAACAGCAGCCATAACAAACTTGGAAGAAACAAACTGTTCATGATTCTTATGCTATACCTAAACTCGTCACTAAATATTGTCTTAGGACAATAATATTTTAAGATTATAATGTTAAATTAATCAAAATTTTAGCAGTTTAGTAGTCAGAGTATTTTTTACTTCATTGTTGGTGCTTTTATCTATAAAATGGGAACAAACTTGACTATATAATCTCAAGCTCTTATGTGGCTCAAAAACTATTCGATTCTAGTAAACACTTAAATGATAAATATAATTAAGTACAATAAAGAAATATTAATTGATTAGTAATGTGCTGTGCTATGTAAATAATTTT